TAAATGTTAGGCTGATTGGTAACTCTAAATTGTCCCTCGGTGTGAGTGAAAGGTTGTCTGAATGTCTTGTTTGTCTCCAGTGTCCCTGTGATGGAATTGTGACCTGTCCAGAGTGTACCCCGTCCCTCGCACAGTGGCTGCTGCTGGATATGGGCACCAGTGCTTTTTCCCTAACTTTGAAAAGCTTTAACAGTATCAGCTTCTGCTAAATTAGGTTTTGCAAACTTTAAAGTAGCACATATTCTTTAACATATTTAAATCATTCAGTTTGGGTTTCTATAAAGTGAAACTGCAATGCTTTGGTCTAAACTCCTGGTTACTGTAGCTCCACAGGCCCCTCTTTCACCCCTTTTCTAAAGCACGCTGAGAGCAACTCGTTTTGGTGCTGTCTCTTTGAATGCAAATGAGTTGCTTACACCCCGCCCCTCCACCACATTCACCCATTACTGTAGTTTGATAGCAGAAATACAAACAGCAACGCAGACACTTTTTATTTACAATTTCATTAAAAGATGTCKACATTGGAAGACTTGTCCATCCAGCCTGACATGTTGGAGCCAGAGTCTGACTCAGAGCCAGAGGAGATAAGACGACAAACCTGCTGAACCGTGGATTCATGAAATTTGTTCGCCGGAATTTTGTGACATTATTGTTCAAAAAACATAAGAGGGAATAGAGAAAACTTAACGGACTGGAAAATGTGACCCAAAGATATCTACACTGCAAGAGGGACTAACTTTTAACTTTCCTGCACACCTAGACTCCAAGTACACAAYAAAATGCATTTAAAAATGTGGATTTTGCATAATGTCTCCTTTAAGTCAGCTAACAGCTAACATCAGGTTTGTATTGGTCCCACCACAAGTGGTGTCTTCCGCTAATTTTTGCCTATGTCTAATGGTTTAGCGCTAGCAAAACATTATTTTCAGTTAGTGGTTTATGAGTTAGCAAAGCTAACTTTTTGGTTAGCTGTGCCCATCACTGCTCTTTTTCAAAGAACAGGTGGAAACGCCCCCCACCAGCCGTCCTTTCTGATGTCCTTGCAGACCGGATCTGTTGTTGATGCTGGGATGGATTTGATTTCGATTAAGTGTCGCAACAAATCTCATGCAGGAAGGAAGGGAACGTACTGACCCAAACACAATGTTGTTATGTCACCAAATTTCTCCGGCTTTAGTCACTGAAAGCCTTTTAAGGCAATTCTGTATCTTAAACCAAAAGTGTTTAAAGTATAGTAAATTAAATATGTGTGTATTGTAAAAATAAAAACATGCAGGTTGAGAGAAAACAGGTTGTAAGACCATGTTGAGCAGGTCAGGTCAGGCTGGGACTTTATCRCCTTATTTTCAATGCTGTGGAGCTGAAATCGGAAGTCTTAATGTCAGTTTCACCTTCCTCYTATCTTTTTGTCACGTTGCAATGGATGGAAACCATCATGAATTACAGGTGACAGTAATTAAAGCAATCTGCACGTCTACTGGAAGGTGAACAAAAATAAAAGAAATTAGTTTTGAGGTTTTTTTGTCAATGTTTGCCTAACAAAAATGACACTTGTAACGATGAGTAACTCTGGATTTTCCTCAACATTAAAAACTTTCCATAGAAATGCAGTCAGGTGAATTAATGTGTCAGGTTTACCAGCGTCCAACACAAACAAGCTGGGTCGTGTCAGATAATTGACGGTGAACACTATTATATGGCACATCTATAAGTTAAATGTCATTAAAGTAGGGCAAAACTGTACTACAAATCCCAATTGTTTGACTTAAAAATAAGAAAAGAATACAAAAAGATAATTAAGTTGATTATCTCTTGCTTTTTCCCACAACATAATCAAAGATAGATGAAAAATCCAATTATTGGCATGAAAGTTGGCCAGCTGTCATGYGAAGAATGCACTAAATACAGTAATAAAAAGAAAAACAATACAACTATTTCTCATTTAAAGTATTATTTTTGGAGCCGGACAAAATGTTAGTGAAGGCCAGATGTGGCCCGCAGTCCTTCAGTTTGACACGTTGGCTAGTCTCAAGTGGACCAGACCAGTTTTATTTTGTTTTCTGTTAAACTTTTTAATATATCTAGTTCTCTTATCCGCATTATTTTTAGTCAAACATGTGGGTGTAAAAAAAAAAAAAGGGAAGAGAAACCAAAATGGGTAGCAAGCTGCCTGCGGCGGCGTGACGTGTGTCACGTGACTCGAGCTAAACCAGGAAGTGCCCGGTAGCCGCAAGCAGGAGGACAACACCGTCTGATTGTTTTAAAATGGTTCCGTGCCGCGACACAGACTGATTTAAAGCTGAATCGCGGCGTGGAAAGACAAAACGAAAGACAGAAAATYAAAATGGGCGTAAAAGCAGCGCTCGGTGCCGCTTTGTTGTCCGTCATTTTCTTCACCACGCAGGTAAGTTCGATCAAAAACAGCCCCAGCTGATGTGACAGTTTGATTATCGATCAAAGTAATGGCGGACAAAAGGGTTTTGCTGTTTAAATCATACATCTTGAAGTTTGGTCATGATTAATAGGCGAACTATTTATAGGTAAGCTAGTGGGGCTAAGCTAGGTAAAGGTTAGCTTTTTTGATACGTTAACGTTCAAATCAGTTTAATACGATAAAATATAACATTGATTTTTTTATTTTGAAGGGGTGTGTTAATATAGATATAATGTAAGTAACTGAAATGAAGTAAAAAAAAAAAACACGTATCAGATATCTGTGTTCAACAACGAGAGACGTCGACCACCAAGCTKATTTTTACAACTTTTACTTTGTTAAAAAATAAAAGTGCCCCTTAGAAAGAAGTAGAATTAACTCTGAGGTCCCTTGTTTACTTTGTCAGACTGACTGAAAGGTTTTAAATCAAGACAAATTTCTTTACCTTTGTTTTTACATCAATTCATCAACTTTCAGTTTTGACTTTGAATAGGCTAAATACAAGTATGTATCTGTATCCCTCAGTATACATAAGTATCAATTGGCTTGCCTTTTTGTTTAACATGTGAACCAGTGGTGGGAATAACCTCCTAATGATATGAAAATACAATACTAATGTGTAACATTATTAATATAATTCAATTCAAACATCCTTTGTTGATCCCAGTGTTTATTTTGTCTGGTGAAGCAGAGCTGAGTTGACCTTGTCTGGAGCTGTCTTGCAGAAAGTGAACATAATGTTATATTTTTAAAAGATAAAAGGTCAAGAAGCTATCGTGCACTTCTCAAACGGAGACACGTACAGAGAGTACTGCATCGTCCACAACCACTCCTGGACTCCGCTCAAACCAACACTCGATGCTGCCGTAAGCTCAAAGTCCAGGTTTCGTTTCCCACAATGATCAAGGTCGGAAACTTTCTCTTCTTTACTC